CTCTTCAAAACGAGGACCCAACACCACAGGATGATTGGGAAAAGCGAACACAAATATGGCTCTGCTGGCCCCGAAGGGCCCTCCCCTCCGAACCCTCCCCGGACCCCCCCCCCTGGACCGCCAGGCACCCGCCAAGAGGGCACGCCAGCTCCCAAAAGCGTCCCCCGACGACTCCAGGAGCGCCCTCCCTCCCAGGCAGCGCCCCCGACGACTCCAAGATCACCGCATCCGGAGCCCCCCGGATCGAGCTATAACATGGCTCAGCTGGCCCCGACTGGGCCCCGAGACCGCCGTCACGAGCCCTGCGGAGGGGGTCGGGCCTCGGGGGGCGTCCGCGCTGCAGAAAATTACCCTGGCGACGTACCCAACCCCTGCGCAAACGCGGGGCGCAAATAGTTTAGGACACTTTATAAAGGTGGCGATGACGGAACGAGGGTTACATATGCCTGCAGACGGAATTCGGGACACTCGCAGGACACTGGCTTCAGGACAAGGACTAGATAAAGCTAATTACTTACAATCCCTGAGCAACCCTAGCCACTTCGAAGGCGGGGATCTCAGATCGCAGCCCCCCAGGGATGGCGAGGTCTAATTTGGGTCCGCGCGTGGCGACACTGCGCTGGGCCCCCCAGCAGCCCTCGAAAGTGGCGACAGTCTCACAGATCGCAGCCCCACAGGGATGGCGAGGTCTAACTTGAATCTGCGTGTGGCGTCACTGCGCTGGGCCCCCCAGCAGGCCTCGAAAGTGGCGACAGTTTCACAGATCGCAGCCCCCCAGGGATGGCGAGGTCTAATTTGAATCCGCGGTGAGTACCCACTGTGCTGGGCCCCCCAGCAGGCCTCGAAAGTGGCGACAGTTTCACAGATCGCAGCCCCCCAGGGATGGCGAGGTCTAACTTGAATCTGCGTGTGGCGTCACTGTGCTGGGCCCCCCAGCAGGCCTCGAAAGTGACGACAGTTTCACAGATGGCAGCCCCCCAGGCATGGCGAGGTCTAATTTGAGTCCGCGGTGAGTACCCACTGTGCTGGGCCCCCCAGCGGCCCCCCAGCAGCCCTCGAAAGTGGCGACAGTTTCACAGATCGCAACCCCCCAGGGATGGCGAGGTCTGATTTGAGTCCGCGGTGAGTGCCCACTGTGCTGGGCCCCGCAGCAGCCCTCGAAAGTGGCGACAGTTTCACAGATCGCAGCCCCCAAGGGATGGCGAGTCTAATTTGAGTCCGCGGTGAGTACCCACTGTGCTGGGCCCCCCAGCAGGCCTCGAAAGTGACGACAGTTTCACAGATCGCAGCCCCCCAGGGATGGCGAGATCTAATTTGAGTCCGCGGTGAGTACCCACTGTGCTGGGCCCCCCAGCAGCCCTCGAAAGTGGCGACAGTCTCACAGATCGCAGCCCCACAGGGATGGCGAGGTCTAATTTGAGTCCGCGGTGAGTACCCACTGTGCTGGGCACCCCAGCAGGCCTCGAAACTGGCGACAGTTTCGCATATCGCAGCCCCCCAGGGATGGCGAGGTCTAATTTGAGTCCGCGGTGAGTACCCACTGTGCTGGGCCCCCCAGCAGCCCTCGAAAGTGGCGACAGTTTCACAGCCCCAGGGATGGCGAGGTCTAATTTGAGTCCGCGGTGAGTACCCACTGTGCTGGGCCCCCCAGCAGCCTCGAAAGTGGCGACAGTTTCACAGATCGCAGCCCCCCAGGGATGGCGAGGTCTAATTTGAATCCCGCCACTGTGCTGGGCCCCCCAGCAGGCCTCGAAAGTGGCGACAGTTTCACAGATCGCAGCCCCCCAGGGATGGCGAGGTCTAATTTGAGCCCGCGGTGAGTACCCACTGTGCTGGGCCCCCCAGCAGCCCTCGAAAGTGGCGACAGTTTCACAGATCGCAGCCCCCCAGGGATGGCGAGGTCTAATTTGAGTCCGCGGTGAGTACCCACTGTGTTGGGCCCCCCAGCAGCCCTCGAAAGTGGCGACAGTTTCACAGATCGCAGCCCCCCAGGGATGGCGAGGTCTAATGTAAGTCCGCGGTGAGTGCCCACTGTGCTGGGCCCCCCAGCAGCCCTCGAAAGTGGCGACAGTTTCACAGATCGCAGCCCCCCAGGGATGGCGAGGTCAAAGGCAGGGGGGAAGAGAGGGACGGGAGGGGGTGGGAAGGAGACGCGTGAGCAGTGCTTTATGCAAATCGAGAACCCAACGCAGGAGGGTTGGGATAAAAATACGACGCCGCGGGCCTGGGCTCCCCGCCCACCTCCTGCTCGGCCCGCGCAGACACTCCGCTCTCCCCCCTCCATCCACCAACTCCTCCTCCTCCTCCTCCTCCTCCTCCTCCTCCTCCGCCTCCTCCCCCCCTCCCCCTCCTCCTCCTCCTCCGCCATCCCCTCCCCCCTCCCCCCCCCCCCTCCTCCTCCTTCCCTCCTCCTCCTCTCTTTTCATCAATTCCTCATCCTCCTCCTCCCTCCTCCTCCTCCTCCTCCTAGTATTCCCTCCTCTCCTCCTCCTCCTCCTCTCCTCTCCTCACACCTCATCTCCTCCTCCTCCTACCTCCTCCTATTCCTCGTCCTCCTCCTTCACCTCCCCTCCTCCCCCTCCACCTCCTCCTCCTCCTCCTCCTCCTCCGCCTCCTCTTCCTCCTCCTCCGCCTCCTCGTCTTCCTCCTCTTTTTCCTCCTCCTATTCCTCCTCCTCCTCCTCCTCCTCCTCCTCCTCCTCCTCCTCCTCCTCCCCTCAAAGCGGTAGCTCAGCAGGGAATGGGATGGGTCGTGGGAGGAGGGGGATGACGACGAGGGCGGAGGGGAAAGAGGAAGGAGAGGACGCAGGGGAGCAAGGGGGGTGATGAGGAGGGCACAGGGGACGGGGAGAGTGAAGAATAAAGGGGACCAAAGGACGACAACTGTACACAGGGCCCCCGTCCAGGGCCAGGGATCGGTCCTACCTTCCTAGCAAAGCCAGGAGGGCGTACACACCGCTCCGTCCTAGAATCAATGTAGGTGTATAACGCATGCACGCTCGACAATAGATCTTGCAATAGATCTTGCTTTCGGAGTCTTGGGGCACGACCTTTGTCGACTCTGAGCTTTGTAAGGTGACCCAGGGCTATGCTGGCCAATCGGGAGCAAGATATTATTCTGGGCCCGCGTTGGCAGGCAAATTTAATTGGTGTGCCTGGTGCAATCTAGTTGGCCGCCTCCCCGAGAAGAAGGGGAAACAAGGCGGGCCAGACAGACGGGTACGACCTTGCGGGGAGCAGAGGGGCCCAGATACAGCCGCTCCACGTGCCTCTCCTGAGGTGCGTCATGACTAAAACTCAGGGGCGATCCCAACCGAGTCAACGAGGAACCCCATGACGCCTGAGATGGCGGAAACCAGGGGGCAGAAATTACCCTGGCGACGTACCCAACCCCTGCGCAAACGCGGGGCGCAAATAGTTTAGGCCACTTTATAAGGGGGGCGATGACGGAGCAAGGGTTACATATGCCTGCAGACGGAATTCGGGACACTCGTAGGAAACTGCCTTCAGGACAAGGACTAGATAAAGCTGATTAGTTGCAATCCCTGAGCAACCCTAGCCACTTCGAAAGCGGATATCTCAGATCGCAGCCCCCCATGGATGGCGAGGTCTAATTTGGTTCCGCGCGTGGCGTCACTGTGCTGGGCCCGCCAAGCAGGCCTCGAAAGTGGCGACAGTTTCACAGATCGCAGCCCCCCCAGCGATGGCGAGATCTAACTTGAATCTGCCCGTGGCCCTCACTGTGCTGGGCCCCCCAGCAGGCCTCGAAAGTGGCGACAGTTTCACAGATCGCAGCCCCCCAGGAATGGCGAAGTCTAATTTGAATCTGCCTGTGGCCCTCACTGTGCTGGGCCCACCAGCAGGCCTCGAAAGTGGCGACAGTTTCACAGATCGCAGCCCCCCAGGGATGGCGAGGTCTAATTTGAATCTGCCCGTGGCCCTCACTGTGCTGGGCCCCCCAGCAGACCTCGAAAGTGGCGACAGTTTCACAGATCGCAGCCCCCCAGGGATGGCGAGGTCTAATTTGGGTCCGCCCGTGGCCCTCACAGTGCTGGGCCCCCCAGCAGGCCTCGAAAGTGGCGACAGTTTCACAGATCGCAGCCCCCCAGGGATGGCGAGGTCTAATTTGGATCCGCCCGTGGCCGTCACTGTGCTGGGCCCCCCAGCAGGGCTCGAAAATGGCGACAGTTTCACAGATCGCAGCCCCCCAGGGATGGCGAGGTCTAATTTGGGTCCGCCCGTGGCCCTCACTGTGCTGGGCCCCCCAGCAGGCCTCGAAAGTGGCGACAGTTTCACAGATCGCAGCCCCCCAGGGATGGCGAGGTCTAATTTGGGTCCGCCCGTGGCCCTCACTGTGCTGGGCCCCCCAGCAGGCCTCGAAAGTGGCGACAGTTTCACAGATCGCAGCCCCCCAGGGATGGCGAGGTCTAATTTGGGTCCGCCCGTGGCCCTCACTGTGCTGGGCCCCCCAGCAGGCCTCGAAAGTGGCGACAGTTTCACAGATCGCAGCCCCCCAGGGATGGCGAGGTCTAATTTGGGTCCGCCCGTGGCCCTCACTGTGCTGGCCCCCCAGCAGGGCTCGAAAATGGCGACAGTTTCACAGATCGCAGCCCCCCAGGGATGGCGAGGTCTAATTTGGGTCCGCCCGTGGCCCTCACTGTGCTGGGCCCCCCAGCAGGCCTCGAAAATTGCGACAGTTTCACAGATCGCAGCCCCCCGCGGGCAAGACAGGAAGAGGCGGGAGGGGAAAAGGAGGAAGGGAGGGAGGAGGGACGCGACCACACTGCTCTATTCAAAACGAATACCCAACCAAGGAGGGTTGGGAAAAAGAAGTGGACGAGAGGTCCTGGGGACCGTGCCTCGACAACTATCGAGCCGCTGGACGTCTTGGAGGAAGGAGGAGGAGGAGGAGGAGCAGGATGAGGAGGAGGAGAAGGAGGAGGAGGAGGGGGAGGAGGAGTGCTTGTGTGTTCTCTCTTCTGGGGATGGGGTGTTCCAGGCCTCGGCTGCGGCACGGCGCAGGCAGAAGGCGGCGGCGTGGTCGCACCCCGCGTCGAGCGCGGCGGTGTGCGCGAGGCGAGCCTGGGGTGCCTGGGGCGTGTCGCCGCGAAGCAGCGGGAGGGCCTCTCCTTTGTGGGGCCAGGAGGAAGAGGAAGCAGCGGCGACGCAACACCGACGACCGTCCATCCGTGGTGACTGATCGATGCTCCGTCATGCGCTCATGAGCGGACAACAGGGCATCGAGGCTCGAACGTCCACGTCCTTCACGTTGCCCACCCACCGGGGGCCTCCGTGGGCACCCTCGTCGCCACGGACGGCTGGGCCCGCCTCACAGCTCTGGTCAAGACGCACGCCCGGAGGGCCCGAGCCCCCCTCGCGTCGCGACCTGGCGGACACCCTCGGGCCGATCTCGGCCTCTGGTGGCTCCCGCCGTGCCGCAAGACCATCCGACAGATACACGGAATGAGAAACCTGCCTCCCACAGGGAGAGGTCGAAAGGTCGGGGCGACCTGCAGCGGAAGGGGCAATACATCGGACGCCTGGGAACCTGCGACCACCAAGGAGGTGCTAGGGGTATTGTTCTCTGTTCTGCCCGGCGCCCCTGGGCCGCGTGGGTTCCGAACCTGGCGAGGCCATGCTAGGAGAGAGGCCATGCTAGGAGAGAGGCAAGCGGAGACCCGATCTGGCCCCCGTCTAGAAAAAAGAAAAACGCCATAAACACAAACTTTTGGCGCTCCGCGCGGAGCTCGGGAAGTTTGTGTTTCTATCGTTGTTTCCCCGTCGACTGTCGGGATCCTCCGAAACACGGCCCCCTCATGAGCCAAGCGCGGTACTCCTTCGACGCACCAGCTATGATGTTCTCCTTAGCAGGGACCGACCGTCCCAGCATGTCTGTAGGCCTACCACGAATTTTCTTTGGGCTCCCTAAATGTGCTAAGAACAAAAACCGTGTTCTCAGAATATGAACCCCATGTGTTAAATCAAAACAGGCCCAGCCAGACATGTTCCAAGAACATCTCGTGGAAATCACAAAAACAGGTTCGCAGAACACTGCTTGGCAGGCCTATCGGCACGCGAGGACGCTTCGCCACTGCTTCATCCGCCGGCTCCCCGCTCCTGGGGCCCGGCCGGCGGCGGCCCGGCCCGCAGGGCCGGCCTCGAGCGTCGGCGGCGCGGCGAGCATGGCGGCAGCGCCACGGGCAGGCGCTGGCGAGCTCTTTAACCACGCCCCTGCAGACGGGGTGCTCGTAAACTCGGGCCGGGCGAAAGGTGGGGATAGCACAGGGGGGGCTTGAGAATCAGCTCACGCAGCTGATTTTCCCGGCGCCTCCCGGCGCCGGGAGGCGCCCCTGTATCGAGGAGCGGGCTCGGCGGCGGGGCCGAAACCAGCGTCATGCAGCAGATGTCGTACCCCCCCTTGCCCTATCCCCCCCTTTCGTTCGGCCCAACAAAACGTGGTGGTAGCTGAGGTTATGTTGCCCCCATCGCACTTCAGGGCCACACCCTCGAAATCATGTCGAGCACCCAGGAGAGTATCGAAACAGTGTCGAACGGGTATCGCCTCCCATGGCCCGACACGTGAGAGCCCTCCAATTTCGGCACCTTCCCGGTGCTCGAAATTATTTCTGGAGATCAAGGCCAAAGTAGGTTGGAACATCATAAAGCTGAGGCGAGTATAGGGTGACAAGGCATTTATCTCGCTCTAGTGCGTGAGAACTGGGGAAAATCGTGGACACATCATCATGACTCTGGGCGGGGGGATGACCTCGCGCGCGTGCGCGGCAAATCGATGTTTTCGAAGGCACTATTGAGAACGCACCATTAGCTACCACTCCATTTACAAACACCCCGTGTGCAGGGGCTTGGTCTGAGATGCAAGGCACGGGGGGGACTGGTGGGCGCCGGCCTGAGGCAAGCTTGCTCTTGAAACGGCAGGCTGTACGCACGCGTGTGGGCGCACGCGTTTGCCAGCGGGTGCGCATGTATCCGCCGCCGCGCTCGCGGCGGCTGGTGTGTGTGTACGCGTGTGTGTGTGTGTGTGTGTGTGTGCGTGTGTGTGTGTGTGTGCGTGTGTGTGTGTGTGCGTGTGTGTGTATGTGTTTGTGTGTGTATGTGCGTGTGTGTGTGTGTGTGTGTGTGTGTTCGTGCGTGTGTGTGTGTGTGTGTGTTCGTGCGTGTGTGTGTACGTGTGTGTTGTGTGTGTGTGTTAGTGTGTCGGGCACTTGCGCTGACGTTGGCCCCCCTGTTTGCGAGGCAACCGCCTGGGCCAGCCGCGCCGAGCCCGGCAGATGCGTTCGTCACTCCTGGCGCAGGCCGTGCGTCTCCGGTGGCCTTTCTCTCCACAAGCGATGCCAGAATCGATGTAGCAGGTGACAAGTCCAGAGGCATGTCCAGCCCCCCCCCCCCACGTCCCTCCTCCCCCCACCCCCCTGCCAGGCTCCCCCCATCTCTCAGGCGCCCTCCTCCCTTCCAGGATCCCGCCCCCATGCTCCCAGTCGCCCCAACCCCCGAGCGCAACTGCCTCTCGAGGCAGCGCATCTGGATAAGAGAAGTGCGTGATCACGGGCGCGCTGCAGACTGTGTGCGCGCGCGCGATCGCTGGTATGCCCGTTGGCGCGCGCGCCGGCCAATTGCATGCATGTGTGGAGATCCTTGCCATTCACGCGCACACAGTCTACCTCTTCCTTCTCCGATATGTGTGTATACATACATATATGTGTAGATGCACAACTATAGATTCACTTATCTAAATGTATATCCGCCACCGTACCTTTGTCCTCGGTGAGACGTGTCTGGTCGGGCTTCTGTCTGGTCGGGCTTCTGTACTGGTCGGTCCGGGCTTCTGTAACTTACCAAAGGGCCCTCCCCCAATCCTGGTCGCACTTCGTTGCGTGCATCGCCACTCCTTCCCGAGGTCATGGTCACAATCCCTTGCAAAATACAACAGGCTCGCGCTCTATGCCTCCAAGAAGGCCCGATAGCGCTCCAAGACGAGCAACATTGACCTCAAGACGGCCCAAGACGGGCTTCAAGACTGCCCACGAAGCCGTAGAGGGTCTCGAGTCAAATATCATCAATTCCCCAGAAATTATGTTTTTTTCGGGTTCTCGCTATTTCCAGCTTCCAACGCCTCAAGACGACCCAAGAGGCCAACAGGACTGCCCCAAGACGGCCCAAGACACACACCCAAATGCCCAAGAGGTCCTCGAAAGAGGCCTTAGAAAGCAAACGCGAACCAAGAACTCCCTTCCAATCCATCCCGTTTCAAGCCATTCCGTTCCGTCCCGTCGCGTCCCGCACTGCAGCATGGATCCAGGCGGTCGTGCACGCAGAACAGACGCGGGCCCAGAGCAGAGACAATCCGAGCGCTCCGCCCCGAGAGGGCCCAGAAGGCCTCAGGAGGGCCCACCGAGGCCCACCGGAGGGCACCGAGCCTTGAGCACCGGTGGTCACCCGTGGCTTTCTCAGTGTGCTGTGTGCTCTCGCCTCTTCGAGCGCCCGGCGCTCCAGGGCGGCCCCGAGAGGCCCCCGAGACTCCCTCGAGACGGCTCCAGAGGCCCTAAGGGCGCTCCACTGGGCATCGCTCGGACGTCCATTCCCTGTGTTTTTTTCGGTTTCGTGCTTGGTTTTTTCGCCAAATGATCAAGGATGCTCCTCGATGGTCCTCGCCGAAAGAAAAAATGCACGTCCGAGCGATGCCAAGTCCAAGACGACCCAACGGGGGCTCCAAGACGACCCACGAGGCGCCCATGACTGCCCAAGAGGGCCCCAAGACGGCACGAAAAGAAAGGGCTCAGGAGTGGGAGCACGATTCGAGCCCTCTGCCACGAGAGGCCCCCAGCAGACCCCCTTGCCAATCAATATGCTGCGAGGGCACGGTGGCGAAATTGCTGGAGGAAAACGAAGAACACTAATACACAAACGGTGCCCTCGGTGCCACGAAACGCTGTGTGTCTCTGACTGGTTTGGTATGTATGCGCTGGGGAGCAGCGAGACTCGGCGTATATTCGACTTTGGTGTTCTCGGTGTTGGAAGCTCTAGTGCTCCCCGCGGCCTCGGCCCTTGCCTCTCCTAGTTCTCCCCCTTCACCCTTCCCCATCCTTCTCGTTTCCTTTCCTCCTCCCTGTTGCAAAGCAGAAGTCCAAGAATACACAGCGTTTGGCCCCCTCAGTGGCATGAAACGCTGTATGTTTGGTTGTCTGGGTATTTCAGCTGGGAAGCAAACAACATTGTGCATGCTTGACTGTAGTTGTTTTGTTTTGGCGTTGGAGTCTCCAGACTAAAACAGAGGATGTGGTGATAGGGGGGGCGGCGGGGAACACTTGAACTTCCAAAACAAGACAAGCAAACACAGAACAGGAACACAAACACTGTGTTTCGGTGCTGTCAAGCCAAGATACAAAACAACTACACAGCGCTCCGTGGCAGCGAGGGCGCCAAACACTGTGGATGTGTGATGTGCTGCTTTGCAGCAAAGAAACAGAAAACACAAGAGAAGCAGAGGGAAAGGGAAGGGGGAGAACGTTGAGGTGCTGGGGTGGGGAGGCCGCGGGGAGCACTTGAACCCCCCAACGCTAAACCACTGAATACACCAATCAAACATAACGTTTCGTGGCACCGAGGGCACTAAGCGCTGTGCATCCTTGCCCTTGCTGTTCTGCAGCAGGGAAGAAGAACGGTAAGGCGGAAGAGGAACGGAAAAGGAGGGGAAGGAGGCAGATCCCAGATCCAGCTGTTTACACTTTGATGTTTTTACTGGGATCTACGTCGCACCTGCATGGAGTGGCGCAGATCCCAGCCCCAGCTGGCTCCGATAGGATCCTTAGTGGGACCTAGCTGGAATCGAACTGCAATTGCGCAGACCCTCGATCCTCTGGTGTGTTCAACGTTGATGCCTATTGGGATTCGCATGCGAATCCATCTGAGCTGGCACAGATCCCAGGTCCAGCTGATTACACTTGGATTCCGATTGATATCGAAGTATTTACGAATTGGGAGTTGTGCCGATCCTACATTCAGCTGAATACAATTGGATTCCTATTGGGACCTGGTTAGCACCTAATTGGAACTGGCCAGATCCTGGGTCCAGTTGTTCCCACTTCGATTCCGAATGCAAGTTGATTGATTTGAATTGGAATTGGGCAGACCCCAAACCAAACGGATTGCAATCCGAATTGGCATTGAGCCGGTCCTAGATCAAGCTGGTCCAATTTAGATCCATACTGGAATTGCAATGTAATGGCGCATATTAGAGACCCAGCTGATTCAAATGTGATTCTCATTATAATATACTTGTAATGTTTGTAGGGGTAGGGCATCCTCTCTGAGTCCCTGCTTGGGACCGTCCTAGGTCCCTTTTGGGCCGTCTTGGGGACCTCTTGGGCC